TATTTGCTCAGCATACAGTTTGAATAAGTATGGGAAAAGGATACAATCCTGACCCGCTCCCTTCCTGATTTTAAAACATGCAGTATCCACTTGTTCTGTTCGAATGACAGCCTCCTGGTCTAGGTACAGGTTCCTCATGAGTACAATTAAGTGTTCTGGAATTCCCAATGTTATCCTTAATTTGTTATGATCCACACAGTCGAATGCCTTTGCAAAGTCAATAAAACACAAGTAAACATCTTTGTGGTATTCTTTGTTTCAGCCAAGATACATCTTACATCAGCAATGATACCCCTTATTCTATGTCCTCTTCTGAATCAAGCTTGCATTTCTAGAAGTTCCCTGTCAATATATTGCTGCAACTGTTTTGGAATTATCTCCAGCCAAATTTTACCTGCATATGATATTAATGATATTGTTTGATAATTTCCACATTCTGTGGGATCACCTTTCTTTGGAATGGATACAAATATGAATCTCTTCCAGTCAATTGGCCAGGTAGATGTCTTCCAAATTTCTTGGCATAGATGAGTAAGTAACTCCAGTGCAGCATCCCTTTTTTGAAACATCTCAATGGGTATCTCATCAAGTCCTGAGCCTTGTTTTTCACCAGTTCCTTCAGTGCAGCTTCAACTTGTTCCTCCAATACTATCAGTTTTTGATCATATGCTACCTCCTGAAATGGATAAACATCAACCAATTCTTCTGTGAGTACATCTAGCAAATTATTTAACCTGAGGGGGGTCTTGGAGACTCCCAAACTTCACACTACCTCACCTGCACTTCTCATTTCAGGAACTTTTATGAATGAAACTAAAAGTACTTCCCAATTCTCACCCAAACAGGCCAGGGTAGAGATGCCCCATGTGCTGCTCCTATTTTATCCCTTATTGTTCCCCTCTGCCCTGGGACAAGTCCAAATCTTAGGCAAGACACTTGCAGCCTCAACCACCAGCCCATGTACTGAGTAGCCTTTGGCTGCTTGCATTTGCCTTCATGTACTGAGTGGCCTTTGGCTGCCTGCATTTGCCTCCATGTACTGAGTGGCCTTTGGCTGCCTGCATTTGCCCAACCTGTCCATCAGGAGTGCCTCTGGATCTCTCAGGGCTACCTCTGGGCTGCCAAGCACCTGCTGAGCTGAGCCCTGGTGTGCGGTCATCTTCCTCCAGAAAAGGATTGGGTTATCCCACTGTGTCCCTGCACTTGGTACATGTTCAGCATGGCAGCAGCCACTTCATGGCTCAGAGCCTGGTTGTAACCATCAGGAGCAGCTATCCTACAGCATTAAGATAAATCACAAAGTGCCCTGCATGGGCTTCAGATTAGGGACTGTCCAGCCTGGTGGAACCATAGCAACTGAATACTCCCTGACTGACACTTGATCTTTCAGTAAGTGAAATTCCAGAGAAAAATTAGGTGTAACTATTTGAGGTCTACTTTTGTTTAGTGAAATTTGCATGTTGCATGGGGAAAAAGGATTGTATTGGTACAGGCAGTCCTCGTGTTATGAACAAGAGCCATTCCTAAGTGTGTTTTTAAGTCAAATTTGTAGATGGGTCAGAACAGGTGTGAACCGAGTTCAATGCCGTTGAGTTGTTTCCGACTCATAGCGACCCCTTCTTGGTTTTCTGAGGTGGTATCTCTATGGAAGTTGATTGCCCAATCTTCCTTCCCAGGAGTGGCTAGTGGATTTGAACCATCAGCCTTCTGGTTAGCAGTCAAATACCTTAGCCACTACATGGGCTTCCAAGACAGCAAGAGAAGGTAGAATGACTTTTTTGAGCACACTCTATTTAAGAAGCCCGGAAAGCAAAATACACATTTCAGAAAATTTCCCTGGAAACTATTTAGAGTCAACTCCTAGTTATTGGAGGATTTAGCAATCCAGAATGACTCATACTGTGTAACTTAAGTCGTCTTGTGACACACACAGAGGGACTTAGTGAACAAATATTTTTGTGTATCGAATCTAATCCACCTTTAATATTAACTCATCTTGATGGAATATGACTTTGTCTCTTTCTCTAACTCACTGACATGCTGTAATAGTGGTGACCTGAGTTGTGGTAGGCTGTGGGCAGCAGCCACTGGTTAAACTGCCAGCTGGGGACTCAGTGGGGTCTGTGGCTCCCTTTTGTGAGGAACTTCTGAAATAAGATCTCAGTGACCTCAGTTCCTCTGAAGTAACACCTCAATGATCTCAACTCCTCTAAGCAATGTCTTCACAGAAGGCAAAGCAAGCTTTTGCTTGCATCATAGTGTACTGCTATGAACTTAAAGATCAAGACCCTAGGTTCCTCATTTTCCCCCAAAGATGAGCATTCTTTCCAAAGGAGGGGAAAAATCTCTGCTTCTATCAGGGAATTAACATCTTTAGAAGTTGGATGTGGTATGAATCTCATGCAACACTTACTTCTTCAGTGGCCTGCTGCTTGGAGAAATGACTCCTATACAAAATAAATTACAAATAATTTTAAGTTAAACAGAAAATTTTAATTGTGAATAAATCTGATTCACCAAAATAAATGACAATAAATACGAAATTCCTTTTCATTTCAGTAAAAAATGAAAACACAAAATAACCCTCAAACACAAGAATAGAAACTGTAAAGCTAGTTTTAAAACTATTTGAATTTGAGTTTGGTTGTTTAAAAAATATGCACCAAAGTACTATCTTTGTAGTAACTTAAATAAAATAAAATAAAATAAAAAACCCAACACTGTAAGGTTTAAAGAGGCACCCACTTGTGTAGCAGCTGTAGGTTCTGGGCTCTGAGTGTGGAGCTCTTATACCTGAATGGGGCTCATGGGCCTGAGATGCCCTGTGGTCTCTGAGGCACAGGGTCTGTAGGTTTTCAGGGTGAGTTTTGAGGATCATACCCATTTTGGGATTGAATTTTCACTAAAAAGTTAAGCTGTTCCTTCTGATCTTGAATAAAGTTAAAGCACCAGGTAAAAGGTTTTATAAATTTACATTTCTCCCTAAGATATATCTAGATTTTTTTCTTTTTTCTTACAAAACAAATGATTTCACATGCTTAGGGTTTTCAGTCATTTTACATGATAATACTTGATGACACTGTATTATTTTAATCACATATCTACTTGCACTTTATTATGCTAACGGAATACTGAAAATAGCCAAACATTCTAAGTGCAATCATTGGAAAGGTCAGTTATATTTAAGAAAGGCATGTAATGTTTTATGAAAAACAACTTCATTTGGAATAAAAGGAAGTTTTATTGTGTCTGTTGTCCTTATATCTTAACTACCCTTACGTATTCCCTTTAAATGAACCCTCTAGTGTTAAATAAAGAATTAAGGGTAAATCTCTAACATGGTTACTCTCCAATGTAACTGTGAGATATTCGGGAAAAACCCAGGTAACCTCTGAAGTTTTTCCATAAAAGGACGTGCACAGAACTTCTCTTTGGAGTTATTTTCTGACATTGAACTGCAGAAGGGCTTCCTGCAGTTAACAGAAGCTTCTCCTGAGCTGAAGGCTTCTAAAAGCACTCTACACATGGAGTTTCTCTGAGTGTGGATTCTTCCCAGAGCCTGTGGCAGCTGAGCATTACAGCTTCTTGTGTACTTTCTGGTGCTGGATCAGATGCCCATGCTGGTTGAAGGCACGCCCACACTCCCCACACTCATAGGGCTTCTCACCAGTGTGGATCCTCTGGTGCTGGATAAGCACAGAATACTGGCTGAAGGCCTTCCCACAGCTATTGCACTCATAGGGCTTCTCCCCTGTGTGGGTCCTCAGGTGCACAATTAGAGTTGCTTTCAGGCTGAAGGCTTTGCCACATTCCATACACTTGAAGGGCTTCTCACCTGTGTGGATTCTCTCATGTTGAATTAGAGATCTGCGTGCACTGAAGGCATGTCCGCACTCACTGCACACATAGGGTTTCTCTCCGGTGTGAATCCTTTGATGCTGAATCAGGTGTGAGTGCTGAACAAAGGCCTTCCCACACTCGTAGCACTCATAGGGCTTCTCCTCAGTGTGGATCCGCTCATGGTTCATCAAGGTGGATCGGTGGCTAAAAGTCTTCCCACACTCACTGCACTCATATGGCTTCTCCCCAGTGTGCACATTGTGATGTTGAATGAGGACTGAGCGGTCGCTGAAAGCCTTCCCACACTCACTGCACGTGTAAGGCTTCTCTCCAGTGTGTATCCTCTGATGCTGGATGAGTGTCCTCTTCACGCTGAAGGTTTTCCCACACTCACTGCACTCATGAGGCTTCTCACCAGTGTGCACCCTCTGATGGCTCCGCAACACAGTGCTGTGGTTGAAGGCTTTGCCACACAATGGACACACATATGGTCTTTCTCCTGTGTGGATTCGCTGGTGCTGAATAAGATGTGAGAGCTGAGTGAAGGCCTTCCGACACTCGAGACATTCATGAGGCTTCTCTCCTGTGTGTATTTTATGATGCTGGGCAAGATCTGAGCTCACTCTGAAGGCTTTCCCACATTCGTTACACTCATAAGGTTTCTCACCTGTGTGGATTCTCCTGTGTTTACTGAGGACTGAGCTTTGGCTAAAGGCTTTCCCACATACACTGCATACATAGGGCTTCTCCCCAGTGTGGATTCTCTGATGTTGTAGGAGATGGGAGCTCCGACCAAAGGATTTCCCGCATTCCATGCACTTGAAGGGTTTCTCTCCGTTTGGAACTACTGGATGCTGAGTAAGGGGTATGCTCTGCCTGAAGACCTGTACTTCCTGATTGCCAACCAGGTTTGAACGCAGGTGGGCGCTTCTCTCAATTTCACTGTATTCTTGATCAATCCTCCCTGCTGGAGCTTTCCCCAGAATCACCGTTATTTCCTCTGAAATTAAAGGCTTCAGATTCAAATCCCTATTTTGTTTTTCTTCCTTGGTCTCACATTCTGAAACAACAAATTCAAAGTGAAAATGTTAACACTAGTAACAAAAGCAGAGTAAGCACAACTCTGGAGCTGGCTTTGCTGGCATTGGGGCAAGGACGACAGGCAAGTAGAAATGGGGCGATGATGTGTATTTACACACCGAGGTGAAGAGCAGGACTTAAGAGAACAATGTAAACTCTAGTTTGAGGTGGTTCTCCTGCACTAAGAGGATGGGATTGGTTGCTAATTGGTCTGACATTTCTTTTGGGGGTGACGAAAATATTCTAAAATTATGATGGTTGCACAACTCTGTGAATACTGCAGTGCAGTGAATTACTTAATATGACTCTTATCACACATGGTCTTGTACTTCTAGTTATGCATGGGCTTCTACCTTCCAGAAGAGGATTGGGTAAGACTATGCAAATAAGGTGCTTGTGGCCCACCAAAGGGATTGGACAGTTTTTGCCAATGCAAATAAAGTGCATGGAACCCTTGTTGGGGGTGGGACCATGCAAATAAGGCATATGGAACCGTAGGGAGGGGATTGGTCAGTTTTGCCAACCTGCTAGACTTAAAGGGAGCCAATCCAAGAGGCAGAGAAGAGGGGACACCTCATTACCATCAAGAGAAGCCAGGAGTGAAGCATGTCTTTTGGACCTAGGGTCCCTGCACTGAGAACATCCTAGATGCAGAAGATAGAAAGAGAGCTGTAACACCGGAGAAGACACTAGACAGCAAGCAGCAGCAGCAAGCACAGCAGCAGCAGAACAAGGAGACTAGCACAAGATGGCATGGTGGGCTTCCTAGTCTATGAAGTGAGATTGTTACAGTGGGTATGCCAATCCATGGAGCTAGAAAGCTGAGTGCTCCAGAAAGGAGGCTTGCTGTCAGAGTAGGGTGGCTCCAGGGCCTTACTGACA